CCTTGTACTGACATGCTTCATAAGTCGTCACAGTAGGTTAGATAGGGAGGTATTCCCTGACCCTTGTACTGACATGCTTCATAAGTCGTCATAGTAGGTTAGATAGGGAGGTATTCCCTGACCCTTGTACTGACATGCTTCATAAGTCGTCACGGTAGGTTAGATAGGGAGGTATTTCCTGATCCTTGTACTGACATGCTTCATAAGCCATAATAGTGGGTCAGACAGGGAGGTAGTTCCTGACCCTTGTACTGACATGCTTCATAAGCCGTCACAGTAGGTGAGACAGGGAGGTATTCCCTGACACTTATACTGACATGCTTCATAAGCCGTCATAGAAGGTTATATAGGGAGGTATTCCCTGACCCTTGTACTGACATGCTTCATAAGTCGTCATGGTAGGTTATATAGGGAGGTATTCCCTGACCCTTGTACTGACATGCTTGACAGCCGTCACAGTAGGTTAGATAGGGAGGTATTCCCTGACGCTTGTACTGACATGCTTCATAAGTCGTCACGGTAGGTTAGATAGGGAGGTATTCCCTGACACTTATACTGACATGCTTCATAAGCCGTCATAGAAGGTTATATAGGGAGGTAGTCCCTGACCCTTGTACTGACATGCTTCATAAGCCATAATAGTGGGTCAGACAGGGAGGTAGTTCCTGACCCTTGTACTGACATGCTTCATAAGCCGTCACAGTAGGTTAGATAGGGAGGTATTCCCTGACCCTTGTACTGACATGCTTCATAAGCCGTCATAGTAGGTTAGATAGGGAGGTATTCCCTGACCCTTGTACTGACATGCTTCATAAGTCGTCACAGTAGGTTAGATAGGGAGGTATTCCCTGACCCTTGTACTGACATGCTTCATAAGTCCGTCACAGTAGGTTAGATAGGGAGGTATTCCCTGACCCTTGTACTGACATGCTTCATAAGTCGTCACAGTAGGTTAGATAGGGAGGTATTCCCTGACCCTTGTACTGACATGCTTCATAAGTCGTCACGGTAGGTTAGATAGGGAGGTATTCCCTGACCCTTGTACTGACATGCTTCATAAGCCGTCATGGTAGGTTAGATAGGGAGGTATTCCCTGACCCTTGTACTGACATGCTTCATAAGTCGTCACGGTAGGTTAGATAGGGAGGTATTCCCTGACCCTTGTACTGACATGCTTCATAAGTCGTCATAGTAGGTTAGATAGGGAGGTATTCCCTGACCCTTGTACTGACATGCTTCATAAGTCGTCACAGTAGGTTAGATAGGGAGGTATTCCCTGACCCTTGTACTGACATGCTTCATAAGTCGTCACAGTAGGTTAGATAGGGAGGTATTCCCTGACCCTTGTACTGACATGCTTCATAAGTCGTCACAGTAGGTTAGATAGGGAGGTATTCCCTGACCCTTGTACTGACATGCTTCATAAGTCGTCATAGTAGGTCAGATAGGGAGGTATTCCCTGACCCTTGTACTGACATGCTTCATAAGTCGTCACAGTAGGTTAGATAGGGAGGTATTCCCTGACCCTTGTACTGACATGCTTCATAAGTCGTCACGGTAGGTTAGATAGGGAGGTATTTCCTGATCCTTGTACTGACATGCTTCATAAGTCGTCATAGTAGGTTAGATAGGGAGGTATTCCCTGACCCTTGTACTGACATGCTTCATAAGCCGTCACAGTAGGTTAGATAGGGAGGTATTCCCTGACCCTTGTACTGACATGCTTCATAAGTCGTCATAGTAGGTTAGATAGGGAGGTATTCCCTGACCCTTGTACTGACATGCTTCATAAGTCGTCACAGTAGGTTAGATAGGGAGGTATTCCCTGACCCTTGTACTGACATGCTTCATAAGTCGTCACAGTAGGTTAGATAGGGAGGTATTCCCTGACCCTTGTACTGACATGCTTCATAAGTCGTCACAGTAGGTTAGATAGGAGGTATTCCTGACCCCTTGTACTGACATGCTTCATAAGTCGTCATAGAAGGTTAGATAGGAGGTATTCCCTGACCCTTGTACTGACATGCTTCATAAGCCATAATAGTGGGTCAGGTAGGGAGGTATTCCCTGACCCTTGTACTGACATGCTTCATAAGTCGTCACAGTAGGTTAGACAGGGAGGTATTCCCTGACCCTTGTACTGACATGCTTCATAAGCCGCCATAGTAGGTTATATAGGGAGGTATTCCCTGACCCTTGTACTGACATGCTTCATAAGTCGTCACAGTAGGTTAGATAGGGAGGTATTCCCTGACCCTTGTACTGACATGCTTCATAAGTCGTCACGGTAGGTTAGATAGGGAGGTATTCCCTGACCCTTGTACTGACATGCTTCATAAGTCGTCACAGTAGGTTAGATAGGGAGGTATTCCCTGACCCTTGTACTGACATGCTTCATAAGTCGTCACAGTAGGTTAGATAGGGAGGTATTCCCTGACCCTTGTACTGACATGCTTCATAAGTCGCCACAGTAGGTTAGATAGGAGGTATTCCCTGACCCTTGTACTGACATGCTTCACATAAGTCACAGTAGGTTAGACAGAGAGGTATTCCTGATCCTTGTACTGACATGCTTCATAAGTCGTCATAGTAGGTTAGATAGGGAGGTATTCCCTGACCCTTGTACTGACATGCTTCATAAGTCGTCACGGTAGGTTAGACAGGGAGGTATTCCCTGACCCTTGTACTGACATGCTTCATAAGCCGTCATAGTAGGTTAGATAGGGAGGTATTCCCTGACACTTGTACTGACATGCTTCATAAGCCGTCACAGTAGGTTAGATAGGGAGGTATTCCCTGACAGTTATACTGACATGCTTCATAAGTCGTCACGGTAGGTTAGATAGGGAGGTATTCCCTGACAGTTATACTGACATGCTTCATAAGTCGTCACGGTAGGTTAGATAGGGAGGTAGTCCCTGACAGTTATACTGACATGCTTCATAAGTCGTCACGGTAGGTTATATAGGGAGGTATTCCCTGACACTTATACTGACATGCTTCATAAGTCGTCACAGTAGGTTAGATAGGGAGGTATTCCCTGACAGTTATACTGACATGCTTCATAAGTCGTCACGGTAGGTTAGACAGGGAGGTATTCCCTGACAGTTATACTGACATGCTTCATAAGTCGTCACGGTAGGTTAGATAGGGAGGTAGTCCCTGACAGTTATACTGACATGCTTCATAAGTCGTCACGGTAGGTTAGATAGGGAGGTATTCCCTGACCCTTGTACTGACATGCTTCATAAGTCGTCACGGTAGGTTAGACAGGGAGGTATTCCCTGACCCTTGTACTGACATGCTTCATAAGTAAGTCCTAGTAGGTTAGACAGGGAGGTATTCCCTGATCCTTGTACTGACATGCTTCATAAGCCGTCATAGTAGGTTATATAGGGAGGTATTCCCTGATCCTTGTACTGACATGCTTCATAAGCCGTCATAGTAGGTTAGACAGGGAGGTATTCCCTGACCCTTGTACTGACATGCTTCATAAGTCGTCATAGTAGGTTAGATAGGGAGGTATTTCCTGATCCTTGTACTGACATGCTTCATAAGTCGTCACAGTAGGTTAGATAGGGAGGTATTCCCTGACCCTTGTACTGACATGCTTCATAAGCCATAATAGTGGGTCAGACAGGGAGGTATTCCCTGACCCTTGCACTGACATGCTTCACAAGTCGTCAAAGTAGGTAAGATAGGGAGGTATTCCCTGACCCTTGCACTGACATGCTTCACAAGTCGTCAAAGTAGGTTAGATAGGGAGGTATTCCCTGACCCTTGTACTGACATGCTTCATAAGTCGTCACAGTAGGTTAGATAGGGAGGTATTCCCTGACCCTTGTACTGACATGCTTCATAAGCCATCATAGTAGGTCAGACAGGGAGGTATTCCCTGACCCTTGTACTGACATGCTTCATAAGTCATAATAGTGGGTTAGATAGGGAGGTATTCCCTGACCCTTGTACTGACATGCTTCACAAGTAGTCATAGTAGGTTAGATAGGGAGGTATTCCCTGACCCTTGTACTGACATGCTTCATAAGCTGTCACAGTAGGTTAGATAGGGAGGTATTCCCTTACTGGTATGCTTGACTAGCCGTCATAGCAGGTTAGATAGGGAGGTATTCCCTTACCCTTGCACTGACATGCTTCATAAGCCATCATAGAAGCAGAGCTGCAGATAACTTTTTGGGTCATTGAGTTATGTACTCGCTTGTGTTCATCTCAGTTGGGAATCCTAATTTTCCTTTGAGTAACCAAGTAAGTTGTACCCACTTCACTCAAACTCAACTGTGTATTTTGCCAATTTCCATTAGTTGTAAAAATATAATAAAGTTTAATTATTGGTTTACGTGTTTGTTATATATATTTTATCTGTAATATGAGGAACGATAAGAACGACTCCAAGTTCATGTGTTGAAATAGAACTTCTCAATATACCTCAATTATGTTATCTATCTACCGGTATGCAAGCTAGGATTTGACATTTTTGTGTGTACAAATGTAATTGTAGTATTCACAAAAATTCAAGCATACTTGTATGCAATAGACGTGATAAGAATTGGGGTTTTACATAAATATTTGCGTAATTCACACAGATACACAGCTTATCTGTACCTCTGTGGTAGGCTAGAAAGTGTGGCATTCAATGAACCATGCCCTTTCATGTGTCACAAGCCATCACAGAAAGCATGATAGGAAGGACGATATTCCATGAACCTTGTACCCGCATGTTACACAAGCCATTGTATTTGTTCAGATATATAGAGGTATCTTAGCGATAGCTTGGTGCATATCAGCCCAATCATAGCTGGTCCCCTTTAAAACCTTGGTGTAAGAAATATATGTTTACCTCCAGCATTTCGGGGAAGATAAGAACATTTTTTATTGACATAGTGGTAAGAGCTATTAATAGTTCATACATCAATACCAAGAGCTACAACAAATTGACACATGCCAGTGTTTCCTATCACGTACCCACCCCCCAGAGTACATACCTGTACAACATATCCCACCATGCATTTAAAGTTGTCAGGGGGCGGGGCACCATCCAACAGCAAGTTACCTCTCAGGCCAACCGGGTCTTTCCTGCCGGCCAGCACATCCAGCAGTCTGAAACAAACACATCTACCTGTGGCCCACATGTCATCTACCAAGTTCCCTTATCAATGTGTATATCCAACATTTCTGTCATTACATGCACACACAATCCAAAATTACAGTAATCCACAATAGATTATACAAAATAGGAATTTAGTTACTTCAGCGCAGGCATGCATATAGCTACCAGCAGCCTCCTTCACAGAGTGAGTGAGTGAGTATGGTTTTATGCCGCTTTTAGCAATATTCCAGCAATATCACGGTGGGGGGACACCAGAAATGGGCTTCACACATTGTATCCATGTGGGGAATCGAGCCCCGGGTCTTCGATGTGACAAGTGAACCATTAAGCTGCCCCATCGCCCCCCCCTCTTTCACAGAAGTTTCAGCAGGAGTATTATGTCTATACCTTACAAACCTATGGAGAAAAATGAAACACCTTACATTATATTATTAACTTATACTGGAGAAAATGACTGCTTCCACTCTCTACTGCACACAGAAGTAATGTACATGGTTTTACCTTGACTCACAAACATGGGGGCCCCAGGGACCCTCAATTATTAGTTCTAAAGGTCCTTGCAGGCAATATGAGGGCCCTGTGAAGTAAGTGTAGGGAACTATATGTTTTGATACATTCTTTAGAACCTGAAATAATTCATTGATCATATACTCTGATGGATGAAATATGCACTAACTGCTCTGAAAGAAACAACCTAACACTTAGCAGTATCATAGATGTGTTGTGGGTACAATGAATAATATCGTGTGTCCCTCTGGACTTATTGAATATTTCATCTGCGTACATTCTCAACATTTGTGCATACTGGGTCCACAGTTGAATGAATATGTCACAAAGGTGGCCCTTGTGACTTTGCGGAGACATGAATGTTCTGAAATGACACATCAAAGTAATTGGCTAAAATTGTGGTAACATATGGTAAAATTGTGTGATAATCAATATTTACACTAATTAAACACCTGCTGAATATACATTAATCAAGACCTGACATGAGCACTCACGATGACTTCCCACTTCCAGTTGGTCCAAGGATAGCATTCATGCCTGGCTTGAAGATGCCACTGAAAGACAACAGTTGCAGGACATGGTTTAGGAAATCAATTTAACTTGCACGAGAAGCATATTGACATTATAACCAACGTTAACACAAAACAAAGCTGCACCCCGATCCCGTAAATATATCAAAGTTTATACACAGATGCATAACCTAGTCTAATTAGATAAAAATCTCAGATCTCTGCCGTTTGATTTTTAATACAGAGTGTAGTTACTGTAGTTACTGTGCTTACTAATGTGGTAATGTTGTCCATGGCAACCATCATATAACCTATGGTGATTATCATTTATAATATAGAACAAACTTTATGTATAACAACTTCTTTCATTCGTGAGTGCGACGTTTCGATACAGATTCTTGTACCGTTGTCAAGCAGGAATGGAACATGAAGAAGGGGATGTATATATATACTGAATGTAACAATGTAACAAAGAAAACAACATTGGCAAGGCTGTAAGCTGATGAAGCCAGTGAGTTAGACAAAGGACAGGCGTGGAAGCCAGTGATGTACAAATAACAATGAGATGTTTATAGTAGAGTTAATGATGCACTCCTCCACCAGGCCGAGTCTACTGTATAAACTCTACTGTGGGATGGACGGGATTCTAAAATATACAATTTTAGTTTATTTCTAATTTATTAATACCACACCAATCATTCACAACATCTAAAAGTACATAAGATCGGCTTCACGTTCTGCTAGCAGAGCAATAGGCAAATTCAGTCAGTAGAGAACACTGCAGCTGCCATCAAACTCCACAATGTTCAGTGTGAAATCATTGAATGATCAAATGAATAATATTTATCACAAAAACAATTAAAAATAATGAATTCGCAATTTAACATGACGATTTCCTTTCATCATCAGATCAAGCTCATGATGCCAATCACTGATTTGTCTGGTTCAGACTTGATTTAATTTACAGACCGTAGTCATAAAGCAGGAAAATTGCTGAGTGTGGCACCTGTGAAGGATTAGAATTGATCTTGAACAGTAACCCATGCTTGTCGTAAGAGGCAACTAACTGGATCGGGTGGTCAGGCATAAAAAAAATAAATGTTGTGGTTCTGATTACCCGACCAACCCTTGAATTCTGGTGCCGACCCTAGTTTTTTAAGAGGTATGAATAAAATAAGCTTTCAGCACCAACGGACATCCGTCATTCTGATAGAGAAAGTCGACATGATGGCAGCAAGCTTGATTAAATAAACAATTACACATTGATAAATGTGTTATTATTTCGTACTTTGCTTCTAAAATATGTAAAAAAAAAGAATTCCTCCCTACCTACTCAAATTTAGTAAATTTTAAAGAGGTGTAATATCGGAACCACACTATTTTTTTTATTTGGCCTCAGGCTCGCTGACTTGGTTGACACATGTCATCGTATCCCCACTGTAGATCGATGCTCATACAGTTCATCACTGGATTCTATGATCCAGACTCGATTATTTACACTGTGTACAGACCACCGTCAACTTGAATAGTGCTGAGTGCGGCGTAAAACTAAACTCAGTCAATCAATGCTGAGTGCAGCGTTAAAAAGGAAAGAAAGAAAGAAAATCAACGACCACAGATATAGAATTACTAGAAACGTTTGCAAGCTATAGAAACGAACAAGTCTATGTTTTGTTCGGGAACTAGGGCGACAACTGATATCCAAACCAAACTTACTTTAAATCTTTTAAAATAGTCTTCGTTTGTGTTCTGCCGCAGCATGCTTTCGTCTTCACTGCTACAGAGTAGAAACAGTTATGGATGGAGATGACAGAGGACTGGATGTTCTGGGAACCGCTCAGTCTGAAGCCTGCCTCGGGGTCCAGTGTTGCACTGCCGTTGTCCGTGGTTCCATACCGTACAGACACATTCCCGTCCTCCGGTGACTTGGCAATGAGGACCTCCTTTGGAACAACAGGAGTCACATTTATCCGTGTCGTTGCCAAACCTCTTTTTGTACTATCCATTGCACCGGTCGACTGGTCGTACTGATTTCGCCAAAGGCCCTATCCTGTACTGGCAGGCCACGGGCAAGCCGATTTGGTGTGTAGGGGTGTCAACACATTATATAAAACATCACATAGTACATGTATACTGCAGTCGTAATCAATGATCAGAACGACTGTTGGGACGAGGACGCTTACAGGTAATACATACGTACACCACTAACTTAATTAAAATAACGCTAGAGTACGAATTGACATACAGGTATTAACCCAACCGGAAACACAATCGATTCGTCGAAAAAGACTATTCTTCACACAGACGGGTATATCTAAATACTGTTGGTTTCGCACGTGGCTTAGGAATCTGCAAATGTCCACCACCCACATTCCTGGCCTGCGTTACATAAATACAGTTGGGTGTGTCATAATTACATTTCGTCCAGTTACTAATGTATTTATATAGCAGATATGGGTAGTACGTTAAGTTTACAATTTATCAACTTTCTTCGGGTGGTTGCACGTGCACCTCCGAGGGAATTACGCCACTGATGCGTGATGAACACCTCGTGCGGTACGTCATGAATCTGACGGCAATAATTCCACTCTCTTTCGAGCCTTTCATCATGTTGTTATAATGTTATCCCGCATTCTATTTCACTTGCCCATCCTCCCACCTTGTGATGCCATTTAGGCCTAGTTAATAGTAACATTCCATTTTCGAAAGTGGGGTAGCCCTCAAGAACCGCTAAACCCTTGGCACCTGTGAAGATCCGGGTAAGAATTGATCTTCATTAACCCATGCTTGTAAGAGGCGACTAACGTTATCGGATGGTCAGGCTCGCTGACTTGGTTGACATGTCATCGTATCCCAATTGTGTAGATCGATGCTCATGCTGTTGATCACTGGATTGTCTGGTCCAGACTCGATTATTTACAGACCGCCGTCATATATAGCTGGAATATTGCTGAGTGCGGCGTAAAACTAAACTCACTCACTCTAAACCCTTGGTCATTATATCCACCGTTGTGCCTTTGTTATTCCTTCAGCATGACCCACCTGTCTCTGGAAGGTGGGCTCTTACTGTAATAACATGCAATAAATGCCTGGTTGAAACAGCACTATAGTTCTGATGATTGTGCCACAGTCGTGTAAAATATATGAACTTGTGCACGAGTGAATGGGAGCACGTGTGTGTGTGTTCGTGCGTGCGTGCGTGCGTGCGCGTGCTTCTCTTATTGTTAACTGATTACAGCATAAAAGTTAATTAAACAACAGGGTTCCCGTTTCCCACGTTGAACTTCCATGCCAGTAAACTGGCACTACTTTCGTGTGGTATTATATGGCTTCACGTTTGCAACTGTCAGTTAGGTCTATATTGAAAAAAGTTTTAAACGATTGAACGTATTAATTTTATGCAACGTTATGTATTTCTTTGTAAAGCGAATCAATGAGACAGGAGCAGTAATGGGGAAGGTCAATTTTCTTCTGTGGACGGATCCACTGGCTGTTGTACCCGTGTTGTACACTGATACCATAAACCCACTATCTGTCCTTACTGTTTGTACAGCGATAAACTCGACAGGTCGGATAATTCTCCAATAACGAGTCCTGCAGTGTTAGCTGGCACGCTTATATTTGTGCCCATATGATATATATTCCTGTTATTGGTTGCCGTTATTAAAGGTGAGGTGAAATTGAGTTTTACGTCGCGCTTGAGAATATTTAGCTCATGTGACGACGTGCATGCGTGTATGTGTATGTGCGGCTGCTTGTACCAGCCCAGACTTAAGCTGGTTTTATAGCTAGCCCACTGAGATACCATGCCGCAGTGAAGCATGAATACCCCCACTCAGACACATTATACTGACTCCGATTTGACTCAGTCCTTGTTGTACCCATTAATGCCGAGCGCCAGGCAGGGACCAACAAGTACCATATTTTAACGCCTTTGGTATGAAGCGGTCGGGGATCGAACCCGCGATCTTCCCGCTCTCCGGGCGGACGCTCTAACCACTACACCACGGAGGCGGTCCCGATTCTAAAGAAACAATGTGCAATTTCAGTTATTATGTAAGTATATTTTTTTACGGCGAGATTTTGTTTCGGGGACTAAATGTGAGTCAGAGTCCACAACTCCTGGTTGGTCACATTGTTAACATTGGAGACCTTCTTGTAGGAGACATGTATAATATATGTCACCTATTTCCATAAGCTCCAGAACGCCAAGCAGTCATGATCATGGTTTATGACTTCTAAAATAGAACTGACCGACTGACTGAGTTTGGTTTTACGCCGCTTTTAGCAATATTCCAGCAACATCACGGCGGGGACACCAGAAATGGGTTTCACACATTGTACCCATATGGGGATTCGAACCTGGTCTTCGGCGTGACGAGCCAACGCTTTAACCACTAGGCTACCCCCACCGCCCTCTAAAAGTAGAAGAACTTTGAGGGAAACACTAGCTATTTGGTATTCCATGGACGTCCGTTATAACGAATGGCAGCATAATGGCGTTACGTGCAAGGTGACGGTGCCATGTGCTGTTTATTACGTCGGACAACCCTCATCTGCCTGCCTCAAAATCTACCGTACTTCCTCGATTAAACGCAGGCAGTTTTCATTCAAACACTACCTATTTCCAACTACCCTGATTCGCTTTGATATCGATTCAGTTATCTTCAAATGTCCAAACACTTGTGCTATACGCGCCCAGTAGTCGCAGTACAATACGGTATATGCGATAAGACACTGCACTCAGCATTCCTCGAGACCCGGGTTTGTCATTTCTAGACTCCCCGTTCACCACAGCGGATAACCAAGGGCCGGTGTTTATTGTTTCTGGACACCACGTTCACCAGCGGATAACCAAGGGCCGGTGTTTATCGTTTCTGGACACCCCGTTCATGCCAGCGGATAATAAAAGGCCGGCGTTTATCGTTTCTATAGACACCCCCTTCACCAGCGGATAATCAACGGTCGGCGTTTATCGTTTCTAGACACCCGTTCACCAGCGGATAATCAACGGTCGGCGTTTATCGTTTCTAGACACCTGGGACACAAGCATTTAATCAAGGGTCTGATTTAATGTTTTCAGAAACCCCTCATCCCGACATTTGACATTTTTAGTGTAGTTGTTTAACGCTTTGATATAGGCTTGTGTATCCGCTCTGTTGCCTTGGTAACATTTGCTCTCGTTGGCTTCATACTTTCCCAAGTCCACTAAACAGGTGCCCGTGTAGGCATATTAACGCCTTCCCCCGTACTGTTTGTTAATCTGTCCACTGATACCGCCCCAAAAAGGTATCTTCCCAGTCTCATGACTTTAAATAGGGGCGGTACCCCGGAAACGACCAAAAATATTCTCTTTTGAGCGGGTAAAGGAAAAGGATATGATTTCAACTGGTTATTGTCCTAGCTGCAGAGCGGTGTCTTTTCTTACCGGCGGCGGCTATTGATGTGACCCCTGTTTTCCATCAAGCATGACGTTGAACTATACTGGGGGTTGTACATTGTGTCGCCGTTCGAGCCAAGTTGAGGCCGCACTAGTTGTTTCAGAAGATATTAATATACATAAGACTAAATATTTAATCTCCATCAGTTGAGGGTAGGTCAAATCAGAGACCATATGGTTATTGACCTTATTACTGCAAGTTAGTTATACAAGGCAGTGACTCAGGAATGTCGTTGTATAAAGGGTTGCATAAACCGATTACCTATCAGTACAGACCGCGAAGGAACCAAACCAGATAATTCCATTTAAATTGAAAAGGAGCCCCAGGGAGATTCAGAACCTAGAATGTAGACTTGCTTCATCGAGAAATTTAGCATTGTAGAAAGGGCGGAAGGAAAATAAATGATACCATGCACGATGAAGTGAGTTCGCGGAAATGGAAGACACGACCTGGTGGCAACCCTTTCGTATCACATTTGCTCTACAAGCGTTTTAGCTGATCTTGAGTAAATGGTACACTTTATAAGTGTTACATCACGGAAAAAATACATTTTAGCATCTGCACGAGCGGTGTTATCTTTTTCAGTGGTCGATCGTCATTACGTCCTCGTGTTTGTAAACACAAAGTATGGATGGTACGGAAGGCTGTGTGCTCAACTCCACATCATATCCTGGGTGAATACATC